TTGATTTTAGAGAAAGAAGAAAAGAGAAGGAGAGATAGAAACATGAATGAGAGAACATTGATTGGCCACCTCTTGCATGCCCCCCACTGGGGATCAGGCCCACAACCTGGGCATGTGCCCTGACTGGGAATTGAACTGGTGACCTCTTGGTGCATGGCTCAATGCTCAGCCACTGAGCCACACCGGCTGGGCCTTACCAATTATTTTTATTAGCATTTTATTTTATTATTTATTTATCCTCACCCGAGGACATTTTTTTATTTATCTTCAGATAGAGCGGGAGGGAGAGAGGGAGGAAGAGAAAGAGAAACATCAATGTGGGAGACACATCGACTGATTGCCACCCACATGACCCCAACCAGGGCCGGGGACAAACTGCAACCGAGGTACGTGCCCTCAGCGGGAACCGAACCCAGGTCTCTGGTCTGCGGGCCGACGCTTCAACCGCTGAGCCAAACTGGCCAGGACTTTATTAGCATTTTAAAAAATAACTGATATAGAGAAATAGATGTCAAATAAAATACACCATTGGAGAAGCAAAGGAAGAACATCGCATTTTTAAAACAGTTTATAAAAATCAAGAAAGGAATTTCAATCTCCTTGATGTATTTTCTTGATAGCAAACTGTTTTTGACACAAAGTACTAATTCCGAAACAAATTTCATAGACAACACACACAATGTATCCCACTTTTTAATATATGATTACAAAAGTCCTGTGATAATGTAGGATGACATGAATGACAGTGAAAGAATATTTTATCCTGAGACCATGTGCAAAAATAAGACCACAACGTTCTCCCTAAACATTCTCTACAGCTGACTATTGCACTTCAAAATATTATAATTTATTGTATTAGTTACTTTAAGCCAACAAAGCAATGAAAACTCTTTGCAACAATAAATGGAAACTAAATATATACCTCTAACAATAATGTAGAAAACTATTGTTTTCTATGAGATTCCCATATTTTATGAGATTCCTATATTTTATCAATGAGGAATGCTTATCTCTATTTTATATAATTCTTTAAAAACATTTAAAAAATGTTTTTATTGATTTTTTAGAGAGAGAAAGGAAGAGATAGAAACATAGATGTAAGAGAAACATCTATGGGCTGCCTCCTGCACCCCTCCCCCGCCCCAGGGGATTGAGTCCACAGCCCAACCCTGTGCCCTGACTAGGAATTGAACTGGGACCTATCAGTCCATGGAATGATGCTCAATCCACTGAGCCACATGGGCTGGGCCATATTATTCTTTGTTGTTGTTCTTTAATGTTTTTATTTTAGAGAGAGGGAGAGAGAAAGCAAAATATCTCCTTGTTGTTTCACTTATTTATGCCTTCAATGGCTGATTCTTGTATGTGCCTTGACCAAGGATTGAACCTACAATCTTGGTTTATTGGGTTGACGCTCCAATAAGCCTAAGCTACCTAGCCAGGGCTATTTTATATTATTCTTAACACTATTTTTCTTGCAAAATAATTTGGTCATTCTATTTTTGGCATGTCAACCAAAGTATTGACATGATATCCTAGTTAAATATTTCTATTGAAAGAATTCAATGAAAAAAAAAATTCAGTGAATAAATCTGTCTTCCTTAAATGTGGATAGGGTCCATAGAATAACAGTTCAGTGCAATTACTGCCCCTGGGAAATCACATTCAGGGCATCCTGAAATTACTTCAGTTCTCCATGAATGAAACACTGCACCACCTGGGACAGTGCTAGACATTTTCCATCACATTGTGAAAGGTGGTTGGTACCCTTGCAACCCCAACCTGCCTGCACTGTGGTTACAAAGTGAGCAAAGACTTTATGGCCACAATACTGAGCATACTGGAGGCCCCATGAGGATCCCAGTGTCTATCTACTTCGACACTTTGGTTATTCCAACTTCTTGAGTCCTAGGATACCCTAAGGACCCACGAAGAGTTTCATCAATATCATGGGTGCCACTTTGAGCCTAGTTATTTTTCCAGGGTTCAGATGTCCCTCTCTCTATTTTTTACTCTAGTGAATGAAGAGGTGATATGTATCATCAGGCATAGACCAGGGTAGGGAAAAGGAAGATGAGCAGAGACACTTCCTCATTTAGAGGTGGTGTCCAAATTTCGTTGATGGGGCTGGCCGCTGCAGTGCCACGTTCCCAAAAGTCAAATGAGGATCCGGTTCCACTGGCGCCCCGTAGTTCCCGGAAGAGCATGACAGCACTTGCTGTCTGCACTTGAATGGTTTCTCATTGAACAGCTTTGTGATTTTGCGAATCATCTAGCTACTCAGTTTTACCCACTGCTGTACAGGAACTGGAAGAATAAATCAAATCAAGCAATGATTCTCAAATTCTAATACAAATTGCTGACCCCACTCCTGGAATTTGATTCAGTAGATACCCAGCTGGGTTGGAGAGTTTGCCGTTCTAACAAGTTCCCAGGTACGGCGGATGCTGCTGGTCCAGAAACCACTTTGGGAACATTGAAAGTAAGTGTATCTATCAATAAGACTTGCATAATTCTATTTTTCTTTTGCCTTGACAGGTTAAGAGAAAGGAAACAGATTTATTAAGTATCATCCAGAAACAAGTTGTTTCATTTTATTTAATTCTCATACCTTACAACAAAATATTTTTATTAATGAGGATGTTAAACCCCAGAAATTAAATGAGTTGCCTAACATTATACAATGAGGACATGGTGGACAAAGACAAGTTTGTCCAACTCCAAACTCTATATTCTATTTATGTTCCAACAATCTTCAGCCAGCAAAATTATATTAACTCATTCTACTCTTTATGTGGTGGTGTCTTTCGCTTTTGACTCAATCTGCTTTGTATTATTGCTATAAATTGATCCAAATTGTCTTTAGAAATAGGCAAGGTACACATTTCAAACAAACATAAGAGACTTAAGGTAATTACTAAAGAAAGATGTTATGAATTGATTGTATTTTCCAAACCAAAAATTGATATACGTAACCAGATCAATATGATTGAAACTTTGTAGAAAGAGGTCAGATTAAACTGTCTAGTTTCCAGTTAGTGTGGGCATGAATGAACCATGATCCATATAAGATATTATTTTGCATGCAAGCATTTGGAGTGACAGAAAAGAGAAAAAAAAATTACCTTCCTTTGCAACTATTCTGATTTAAAACACAAAGTAGTTAATTACTCACCAGTGGAAAAAATTGGCATCACACCAGTTTCTGATGTTTTGATTTACTGTTTGATCTTAAAATAGTGGTTCTCAACCTTCCTAATGCCGTGACCCTTTAATACAGTTCCTCATGCTGTGTCCCCCAACCATAAAATTATTTTTGTTGCTACTTCATAACTGTAATTTTGCTACTGTTATGTCTTAGGCGACCCCTGTGAAAGGGTCATTCGACCCCCAAGGGGTTGCAACCCACAGGTTGAGAACTGCTCTCTTAAAATAACGTTCAAACCCATAAACGGTAAGAAGTACATTTTGACTAGCAAAGAAAGGCTGCCTAATTATAGGACGTGCCCCAATCTTCTCCAAAGACCTTGTTCTGACTTAATTAACACGAACTAATAAACCAGCCCTAAAACAACAGGGCACGTTCCCATTAGGATCAATTACTCAGACCCAGTCACCACAGCTAAGAACTCCCTAGAGGCAAATCTGTCAGCTTTTCCATGGGTACTCTGGGTACTCCGTCTGTCTCAAAGGACTCGGCCGCAGCTGGGAGCCTCCCTCTAGAAGGGGCATCTGTTCCATATTGAATTTGTTCCATTTTGAGACATGGACCGTGGATAAAGGGTGAAGGAAAATCCTAGGTTATCAATAGAACCATGTGATATAGTAGCTTAGCAGCTAGGTTGACTACGAAGCACTTTAATTCTGTTCATTCTGGTCTTGAGTTTTGTGTGTGAATACTGGAGTTTGTGTTGCTTGTCTCAGTACAGGGTAGAATAGGACAGTTAATAGAAAAACGCTATTTCTAGTTCCTTAGCAGGATCCATAGACTGAGCCTACCGGCCCGGTCAGAGGCTGCGCTGTGGTGTCATGTGGACCTGGCTTTGCCCCTTTGAGGCAACAATTCCCTCCTCAGCCTTGATTTCCTCATTTGTAGTGGTGAACTCAGTGGTACCCTCACGCAGGGCTATCATCAGTAAATGTTGGCCATTATCACACAGGAGGTGAGCCTGCTGTCCCCTGCACATAGATGAGCTTATCCCCAGCTACTCACATCAGCCTTGTGATAACAGTTTACACCCTACATACTATCACAAGCCACCTAATTAGAAAGACCTCAGAAATTCCATTTGTCTATTCATTAGGAATGAAATCAGGTTTAAGGCTAGAGCAACATAAATACATTTATTTATTTTTAGTCTCTTACAATTTTTTTAGCCTTTTTTTGTTCGGTAGTAATTTTTCTTCCCCAGTTGGTAAAGGTCACAGCTGGTGGGGTGAATGAGTAATTTCTGTGTCCTCCAAGTAATTTTGTGTGGGGCTAACCAAATTATTAACAGGCATTTGTCCTGGGACGGGGGAGGGGTGAGAGATGAGGGTTTAAAACGGATCCAGATAAAGTAGGGAGATTAATTCGTGTCTGAATGCTTAGTTACAACCCTAATGCTGCTCTGGCTCGAGTGAATTCTTGAAGATTTTATTCTTTATAGGTGATGGCCACAGTCACTACAACTGCGGGCCTGAGGCGGAGCAGAGGAAGGGCTTCCTCTTTCACCCCAGAAATTCAACGGAGTCCCTGTCCCCGGGTTGCTGAGTTCCCAGATGCGCACGAACTCCACAGCCAGCTTTCACGATTTCCCGGGAGATTCGCCAAAATGTCCTGCTCATTAGAAACGATGAAAACCATTTCTGTGAAAGCTGTGAAAACCACCATAAAGCTGGTCATCGGAACTAAGCTGGCAGTGCCACTGTTTCGTTTCTGACCTCGGCGGAGCCACCACTTGTTCCCAGCACACACGCAGGCACGGGCCCCGGGCGCGGGTCCGAGGCCACGCCCCGGGCTAGCGGGCTCCGTGCGCCCCCGCGTGCGGGCACGGGGCTCCGGGGCGCGCCGGGCTCTCCCCGCACACGCGGCAGGGGCCGCCCTGGCCCTCCTTGTGCGAGCGGCGGACGTGGCTGTCGTGGGCGGCGTGGGACGCGAACGCCTTGCCGCAGTGCTTGCACTTGAAGGGCTTCTCCCCCGAGTGCTGGCGGATGTGCGTGCGGAGAATGCTGGACGCCGTGAACTTCTGCCCAGGACAGAAAACAGAGAAAAGTCAACTCCCATCGGCTGGAAGACTAGTGAAACAAAGGGTTTAACTTTCTTGTGACCGACGCTGATGTCGCCCTTAGTTCTCCAGATGCCGGACCTTGGGTGTTCGTGCTATCGAGCACCCCGGTCACCAGAGGGGCCTCCATGCAGGGCGACATGATTGATGCGTGTGGGTCTGGCTGGTCTCCAGGAGCCGCGGCTATTAGAACAGTGGCCTTTCAGTGCCTAAGATCACCTGGGGTCTAGTTAAAAATGCAGATTGACAGCCCCAGCCCGGAGAATGTACCCAGTAAGTACACTCTTTGGGGTAATAAGAAACCTGCATTTAAACAAGCAATTCTGATGCAGGGGGTCTTAGGACTGCGCTCCGAGATAAACTGCATCACAGAAAGAACAGCTAATATTGGCCAAGGTCTTTGCGCAAGTCAGTTTCTTATTGTTTTTTCTTTCTAAAAACTTTTTGAGATAATTGTAGATTCACATGCACCCCTAAGAAATAGTAGAGATTCTTTGTGCTCTTTACCCAGTTTTCCAAGGGTTACCTCTTACAAACTATAGTATCACAACCGGAATATTGATGTTGGCATAGTTAAGACAAAGAACTTTTTTTTTTTTTTTTTTATCCTCACCCGAGGATATTTTTCCATTTTTTGTACAGATAGAGTGGGAGGGAGAGAGAGGAACAGAGAGAGAGAGAGAAACATCGACGTGAAGGGACACATCGAGTGGCTGCCACCCGCCCGACCAACCAGGGCCGGGGACAAACTGCAACCGAAGTACGTGCCCTTAGCGGGAACCGAACCTGGGTCTCTCCGGACCGCAGGCCGATGCTCTAACCGCTGAGCCAAACTGGCCAGGGCGACAAAGAACATTTTTATCATAAAGATCCTCATGTTGCCCTTTTATAGACACACCCAATCCCTCCTACTCCCATTTTTTCTTCAGCTGTGGCAACTGCTAATCTGCCCTCCGTTTCTATCATTTCAGAATGTTAGATACACAGAATCATACAGTATGCAACCTTTTGGTACTGGGTTTCTCACTTGGCATAGTTCTCTGGTTCACCCAGGCTGCTGCGTGTACAGTTTGTCCCCTTTTTATTGCTGAGTAGTATTCCGCAGTGTGGATGTTCCTGGTCTGTCTCACTGCTCACCCCCGGAAAAAGACATCTGGGCTGCGCTGTTATGAAATAAGCTGCTACAAACATTTGTGTCTAGTGTTTTTTGTTTTTGTTTTTAAATCCTCACCCAAGGATATTTTCCCATTTATCTTCAGATAGAGCAGGAGGGAGGGAGAGAGGAAGAGAGAGAAACATCGATGTGAGAGAGACACATCAATTGGCTGCCTGCCTCCCGCATGTCCCCAACCCGGGCAGGGGACAAACCGCAACCAAGGTACGTGCATGGAACTGAACCCAGGACTCTTTGATCCGCTGACCGATGTTTTAACCACTGAACCAAACCAGGCAGTGCTATAGGTTTTTGTGTGAACATGTAAGCAATTGCAGGGTTCTTGGTAGTCACAAGTTTAGTTTTTAAAGAAATTGGCCAACTGTTTTGCAGAGTGACTATAACATTTTTTTCTTTATTTTTATTAGACAGAGAGAGGAAGGGAGAGAGAGAGATAGAAACATCTATGAGAGAGAACATCGATTGACTGTCTCCTGCATGTCCCCCACTGGGGATCAGGCCCAAAACCCGAGCATGTGCCCTGACTGGGAATCGAACCAGTGACCTCTTGGTGCATGGGTCAATGCTCAACCACTGAGCCACACAGGCTGGGTAACATTTTAGATTCTCAAGTACTTTGCTGTTTTTACATATCTTTTCTTAGCCACTTCTTTTGTCTCCCCAATTTATAACCTTTCCCATCATTGATATCAATACCATCCTCTGATTTTTATCACTTTCAGGTAGGATATTAGAAATCTAATGACTTTGATTTTTGGGTCCACTGACAGGTTAAACTGGTGACCTCAACAACGGGGTGTCTGGGTATATGCAGGGTTGGGTCACTGCTCAGTAAGGTGCACAAGCTGTCCTTGCACAGACACCCAGACATGGCCAGTCTTCACCAGCTTAAGTAACGAGAGTCTACTATGTAATTTGGGGTATATTTCATTACACATGCTCTAAATGCCAGTTTGGCAATAGGTCATGTACCTGACCATCATAAGCAAATGTGAGCATATTTGGGGATGGAAATGGGGATAAGCCAGGCTTTATGCTTCAAGTTCCTATTCATGGACACCCCAACAGAGCTCAAGGCAGATCCTTTCAAAGGAGGTTTGCTTTGGCTCAGCGGTTGGAGCATCGGCTTGCGGACCAGAAAGTCTTGGGTTCAGTTCCCGCTAGGGGCACAAAAAAAGAAAAAAAGGAGGTCCCACTTACCTTTGTACAGTACACACACTGGTAGGGTCTGTCTCCAGAGTGGACTCTCATGTGCTTGTTTAGGCTGGAAGACTGAGAGAAACATTTCCCACACGTAGAGCACTGAAGCAAAACAGAATATGGTTGAACTCACATCTTCCCCTTACAAGTTTCATTTCCTCATAATGTTAACTGTTGTATTTATTCTGTTGTCTGCGAGCAGAGGATCAAGCAGGTCTAGCTGGTAGTACACAGACCTAGAAGTACACTGATGAATAATCAAGCAGTGTGGGTCCTGGTCCAGGGTCTGCCCAGCGCTAATGTCATCTAACGTCTTTGGGCGTCGGTTGCTTCAGGGGTGAAATGTGGGAATTTAACAGGATCAGTGTCTAGCAGAGGCCTGAATCAGCCCTGCTCTGTCAACAAGTAGCTGTGTGACCAGTGCCAAGTCAGTTCAACTTGGAATCTTTGTCTCCTGATTTTCCTCGTGGGAAAAATACCTACTCTGCCTTCCTTCCAGGGCAAGCACTCAGCAATTAATTCAACAAGTATTTATGGAGTACCTATTCTGTGCTTAATACTCTGTTAGAGATAAGGAGCTAAAAATCTAGTTGGGGCTGATAAATATACAGACCAAAATGGCAACACAGGTGGCAGATGACCTGAGATATATTGTACCTACAAAACAAGGGTATGATTTCAGGGATCCAGGGAGAGTATGTGGTACAACCACCCACTGTAAACAGTTCATATTACTTCTCTGTGCTCTCGACCCTGGTGACTCCTGCTAAATCTTTTCAGAAATTCTGAACCAGGTAAAAGAAACTACTGTACTTCCGGGTAATCCTTGCTTCCCAGGTATGCTTATGTGAAGAAGGGAGGACAAGTATTTTTAGATTGTAAGATTTGGGGTGGATTTTGGGTGGATCTTGAAAATCTTCCTTAATGTTTCTGTAGTGCTCGAAAGTTTAAATAATGGGCATGTATTATTGTTACTAAAGCAAAAACAAAACAAAACAGATGTTTGAGATAACATTGCAAAAAGAACAGATTAAATACTGCTGAAGACTAAAGAGATGAATAAGATTGGGGGACTTTCTGAGAAGGCTAAGCAAAAAAATTAAAAGTTAAGTACAGGGAGAGGTAGATTGAATCTAACATCTGGCCAAAAGGAGTTCCAGGAGAGAACAAGGACTTGGAAGACAGGTATAACCAAAGAACAAGATAATGCCTTTGAGCTTAGGATTTGTGCCTTTAGATGGAAAGAGTACTTTTATTCCACTGTCTACAAAGAGAAAGGAAAAAAGGAAAGAAAAATACACCCAATTTGACATATTCTGTTAAAATTTCAAAACCCCAGAGATAAAGCACAATTTCCACAAAGAACCTGGTTCTTTACAAAGAATCAAGAACCAGATTGGCAGCAAATGACAGGAGAAAATGAAAAGATGCCTTGAATATTCGCAAGGAGAATTATTTCTACCTGCAATTCTATAGCCAGCCAAACTATCAAAGAGGTATGTCAGTAAAATATCCTCAGACAAAGGACTCAAAACTTTTCACTATGTATCCTTAGACACAATTACTTGAAGATACGCACCAGCAATACAGAAAAGAAATCAAGAAAGAGGATGGGTGGAATAGAAGAATCAGTACAACTAATTTAGGAAGGCGTTTAAAAAAGTATCCAAATGACAGTTAACAGGCCCAGAAATCACTGGTCCAAATCAGAATAAGCTCCAGGAAGAATATAAATATCATGCAAGTTACACAAATAAGAAACTAAATTTGTGCCTTGCAATTAGAAACCCTAGCAAAAACAAACGTTTACAAGGAAGTCAAAGATGAAATAAGTAAAGTTAAAGCCTTGTATAAGTTTGAACAATTTATGGGCTATAGGAAACAATACTTTCTGAAAAAAAGAAATCAAGCTAAGTTGGTGTGGCTCAGTGGTTAAGCGTTGACCCTTGCACCAAGAGGTCAATGGTCTGATTCCCGGTCAGGACACATGCCCAGTTTGTGGGCCCAATCCCCAGTGGGAGGCATGCAGGAGCCGGCCAATCAATGTTCTCTCTAATCGATGTTTCTCTATCTCTCTCTAAAAAATCAAAAGGAAAAATATTTTAAAGAAAGAAAATGCTACCAGTTCTAACTGGCATGCCATCCCGTGTTAAACATACCTCAATTTCAGAAATATAAAAATGTGAAAACACGCCAAATCCTACAATAAAACATGGCTTGTAAAACATTACAAAAACATGTACCAAATATGCATGCTTTCCAAGGACATAAACTGACAAACCACAGGACAATACAAACTGGCAACAAAACATTTTTACATTTAAAACATCGTTAATAAAGATGCCAGTTCAAGCAAGATGCCATTTTCCTCTACGAAAAGGGCAGCAGCGAAAGGGCACTGTTATTGCAGGAGGCCTGGTGCTGCTCACCGCAGGGCAACCACAGCCGGGTAGAGCAGAAATCATCGAGTTCTCTGGAAGGCGGTTTGGCACCTTATTTCAGAGCCTTAAAATTGTACACACTCTCTGGCCTGGATTCTCTACTTCTAGGAATCTCCTCCAAAGAAATAATCAGAAGTCCTAGCCGGGGAGCTGTGGGTTGGAGCATCGTACCCATGACGGGGTCGTGGGTTGGCTTCCCGGGCAGGGCACACACAAGAGTCAACCACTGAATGCGTGAGTGGGTGGAACAAATCGATGTTTCCCTCTTCTCTCTAGAACTCAATCAATTAAAAAAAAAAGAGAAAGAATCAAAAATAGATAACAGAAATAACTATTTCCAATTAGTTTCTTAAAAATGTTTTTTACTGGTTCTGGCCGGTTTGGCTCAGCGTTTGGAGCGTCAGCCTGCAGTACAGAGAGACCCATGTTCGGTTCCCGCTAAGGGCACGTACCTCGGTTGCAGTTTGTCCCCGGCCCTGGTTGGTCGTGCGGGTGGCAACCACTCGATGTGTCCCTTTCACGTCGATGTTCCTCTCTCTCTCTCTCCCTCCTGCTCTGTCTGAACAAAAAATGCAAAAATGTCCTCGGGTGAGGATAAAAAAAAAAAATGTTTTTACTGATTTTTTTTTTAGAGAGAGAGGGAGAGGGAGATAGAAACATCAATGTGAGATCGGCTGCCTCATGCACCTCCCCACCCCCCCACCCCCCCACTGGGAATGGAGCCTGTAACCCGAGCCTACCCAGGCATGCCAACCGGGACCTCTCAGTCCATGGGACCATGCTCAATCCACTGAGTCACACAGGCCGGGCAAGAACTATTTCTATACAATATCGTTCACGCAGTATCACTGGGGAGACATGCACAATACAGGGGGTTGGTTAAATTAGTCACGGCACTACCATCTGATGTACAACTAATAGTCATTATGTTTACAAATTAGCTTTGTGAGGTAGTCTTAAGTCAGACATTTAGCCTCATAGTCTTCACTATGATCGATGTATATTAAAAATACACACATATTGTAAAAATGTACATACATCTAAAATGTCTTAACTTTGGGCCATAGCACATCAGGTAGCTTTTGTCTTGCTTTTTCTCCATGTTGTATTTACCAAGCATGCACTATATTTTCACGTTAAAAAAATAAAATGGGAAGTAAAGACTTCGAGGGATCGCCAAGTAAAAACATAACGATCGCTCTTTGCTCCAGTCTCAGGCACACGTCCGGAATGCCAGCAGGCCCAGCACCCGGCCCTCCGTGTTCAGGGGACCCTGGGAGCCACGTGAGCGAGGGGCAGGACCAGCTGCCTCCAGAGCTCGCTCTCACCTTGTGAGGCCGGTGCTTCTCGTGAACGTGGAGGATATGGATTCGGAGCCGGTCGCGCTTCTCGAAGGACCGTTTGCAGAGAGCGCAGGGGAATTTCCTGTCGCCCTTGTCCACGCAGGGGGTGTACTTGAGATGCTTATCTCTGTAGTATCTGTAGGTGAACACCTTCCCACACCGGTCACATCTGTAGCCTTCTGCGGACTCTGTCAAACACAGGGGGCAGGAGCGGTGGCTCTGTCAGCTACCTTAGCTCATTCTTCCTTCCTCCAAGGCAGTTTTTAATAACTTTCCCTTAGAGGAAATTTTAAACATACACTCAAGCCAAAATGATGAATAAACCCTCGTGTTCCCAACACCAAGCATTGGCAATGACCAACCCACAGCTGATTTTGTTTTCATTAATAGCACTTCCCTTCATAACACAGCTCTAATTTATCATTTGGTTCATACATACCTCACACCATAGCATGCACACTCCTGGGTGGCACCTGCTACAAGGTTAATAACATAACCAAACGTGTGCTGTGTCCCTCTCAGAGCCTGCGCTGAGTCCCAACAGTGCACCCAGAACTTCCCCCAATGGCCTCCCATCCACTTCACCCCATTTCAACGTCTTAGGGACCCTCTTAACTTACAGTTCACTTCTCTGAATTTTGGGGAGGGTGCCAGAGCTAGCATCTTCATGTACACAGTAAGAATGACAGTATCTTGATGCATCGGGATGGTGCTCTAACCAATTGAGCCACTGGCCAGGGCCCCCAAGGATGGCGGTATCTTGCCTTCCCTAATACATCCGGTTATCATGATGGTTAATTTCATTCTAACACTTAATGAGTTCTTCCGGCCACGAGTGATACTATCACTGAGGGATAGATAAGACTGAGAAAGGTGCCCTGGCCAGTTTGCTCAGTGGTTAGAGCATCAGCCTGCGGACCACAGGGTCTCAGGTTCAACTCCCGGTCAAAAAGGCACATACCTGGGTTGCAGGTTTGATCCCCGGCCCTAGTCGGAGTTGTGAGGAGGCAACCAGTCGATGTGTCTCTCTCACATCGATGTATCTCTCTCTCTCTCTCTTCCTCCCTTCTCTCACTCTATCTGAAAATAAATGGGGGAAAAAATGCCCTCAGGTGAGGATTAAAAAAAAAAAAATCCTTGAGTGAGGACTAACAAAAATAAGTAAATAAATAAAAAGACGGAGAAAGGCAGATTGTGTTTATCAGTAGAGGAAAGAGAAGGCGAGCAGTTAGAGAGGGAGCTGGGAGGCGCGGGGTGTCTATGTGTTGGCGGGGAGAGGCCGGGCCACCTACAAAGAGAATCGCTGTCAAGGCTCCTCTGGATTCCAGGGTAAGTGGCCCTGACAGTGCACGTGTCACTGAGACCTCATTGTCTGGCCCCAGGGAGGGAGAAAAGAGCCAGGAGTGAGTATATGCAAGAATCTGGAGATGGAAATCTTTTCAGTATCAGGACAGCGGGGAAGCTATCCATCTGGGGCTTTGTTAGTTAACAACCCCGTCCCAGGCACGTTTAACAAGCGGCTAAGGAAATAAACCATTCATTAAGTAAATAACCAGGAAGGCAACCGCCAACCCTAGGACAATCCCTCGCCCAGCCAGGTCTGCCACTTTCATTGAGGTGCTAATAGTCTCAGAATCCCCCATGCTGCCCGGGTTTTTGCTCAGAGCTAGTTTTCCCGGGTCAGAAAAACCCGGGCTTCCTGCTTCCTGGCATGGGAAAAGGGGGTCTAAAAGATGAGGCGCGTGATCTTTACAAATCAAAGCACTAAAACACACCAAAATTCAAAATACGGGTACCAGAGTTAATCAGCATAAGAACCACTTAGGCAGAAATGACAGCCACGTTTACTAATTAGGCTCAAATCGTTGGATGGAAACTTATCCTCACCCAAGTTTACCCTCTTCCCGCTCCCTTCTTCCTCCCCCAGCTCCATCAGCTACTCTACTCCAGGAGTTTCTCAATCCTGACACGCTGCTGCTTGTCCCACCACAGGTCCGTTTTGTAAGGATTAAGAGTCATCTTCACATTCCACACTTCCAGCCCCCCAAACACACCCAGGACAGGCTGCATACTCCAGACCCTGCCCTCCTACTCAGGACCTCAAGGGGAAGGATCTCACCAACCCTCACCAAAAGCCTTGGAAATAACATTTTTTGAGAGAGGGAACAGGAATTTTTATTTTTCTTCCCTTTTTACCTATCCAAAAACATTCATAACAGCAAACAAATGAATTCATCCATAATTCTTCCCAACAAATTAAGTCCTTTACAAGTTCCCTCACACATTGTTTAAAATACACGTTATTTTAACAGTGCCAGGGTAAGTCGGTTCAGAACTGGAGTACAGGAAGCTGCACGCCCCCCCCCCCACCACCATTAAGCCCCCATTTCTGTTGCTTATTTGCTGTGATCTCCGCTCTCTGCATATTATTCCATGTGAATACGTCTTCCTTTAGTTAATTATTCTACTATTCAGCACTTAAAGATTGTGCTTTTTCACTAACTCAGGTGGCACTGTAGCAAAAATCCTTGTGGGTTAAAAAAAAAAAAATCCTTTTGGACTATTTCCTGAAGATAAATTTCCAGAACAGCATTACTGAGACATCAAAGATTATGAATACTTTCATAGCTCAATACATTGGGATAAAGAATTTTTCAAAAAGGATAACGAATAAATTTGGGGGGTTGTCAAGCATATATTTGTCTCAATTTTTTTTTCACTTTTATTTTAAAAGCAATTGGTTCATTTTTTTTTGGAAGTGACCAAAAAGCTGTGCTTGGCGGGGTACTAAGCATGTGACAACTCTGAGTCCCAGGACTTTAGAGATCCCACCATCTCGCCCCCACCCCCATGTTAGGATAGTAGGAAACAGTTCACCAGGACAATTCTGACGGGCTCTCATTATCTGGACCCTGGAAAGATACCTCTCATCATTCACCTCCTAATCCCTGGTGAACCTGTGGTTGCCTTCGGCTTCACCATCCCCCAAAATGGACTGCCCCCTCTCTCCCTGCCTAGCACACCCCGAACTTCCTCTCATCTCTCAGCAGTTTTCCCCAATTGAGTCAGTGTCTTCCTCCTTCGCTCAATCCACACTGGGCTCCAGGAGCAGGGGGCACGGAGGGTTAGGGTTACTTCCTGCCCTGAAGGACTCAGTCTAGCTCGGAGACTGCATGCACACAACCACTGCAGTATGTGAAGAATGCAATTTCCATTTGCTTTCACCTGCTACTTATTGCATTTATAACACAATAAGGTGATCTTCTGTCGGATTACACATAATGTGCACTATGGGAACCACCTACAAGCTCAGTGGTTCCCAAACTCCTGTGTATAGAAAAATCACTCGGAGAGCTTTTTAAAAATGCAAGTTCCAGAGGCTCATTCCCAGAGAGTGGGTTGGTGGTCTTCTAGCTCTGTGCTACTAAAATGTGGTCCAGGGACCAGCAGCATCAGCACCAGCATCCCCTGGATACAGAATCTCAGGTCCCAGGCCGGAATGAGAATCTGCACCTTCCCAAGATTGCCCAGGTATTCACAGCAACATTAAAATCTGAGAGTGAGTCCCGGCCGGTTTGGCTTAGAGGTGAGAGCATCAGCCCGTGGACCAGAGAGACCCGGGTTTGGTTCCCACTGAGGGCATGTACCTCGGTTGCAGTTTGTCGCTGGCCCCTGTTGGAGTCATGTGGGTGGCAACCAGTCCATGTGTCTCTCTCACGTTGTTTCTCTCTCTCTTCCTCCCTCTATCTGAAGATAAATGCAAAAATGTCCTCGAGTGAGGATAAAAATAATTTAAATCTGAGAGTGACAGTCTAGCTCAATGCTTGTTAACCTTGACTGAGCCCCACAGTAAGAAATGCATTTTCTATGCAATCCAGCCCACGCACACGTATTCACATGAAACAACTTCACAAATGTTTGCTCTTACTTCAGCGAGACTCACGTCAATATTTTCTATCCTACTTCATGCTATTCTCTTTCTTTCATGCGACCCTCCACCACCAAATTGATTGCTCACCCCATTAAGATACTGCAACCCATCACCAGAAAACACCGCTCTAGAACAGGGCTGTTAGCCTGAGCAGACATGACTCAGAAACTGGCTCGCCTAAGGCAGAAGTCCATCCATTTATTTCACTTTTATTGTCTTCTCTGGGTGGGGGGAAGGGGTACAAAAAAGGAATCCTTGTGAATAGAAGCAGCTTCAGCAGCTTTGGAAACTTGAGGGCCTTTTCCTCCAGCTGGGTAATGCCCCCTGGTTACAGACACCCTCCACTTAGTCTCCTGCAGGAGCCTTGGAGAGGGAGGAGCTCCCCCCGCAGCTGAGCGGCTGCAGGAGGGTGTCCTTCCACTAGCAGTGCCTCAAAGGTGTGCACTCACCTTCAGGGGGCCCAGCCGCCTGCTTCCCCTGCTCGGTCACCTGAAGGCTCACGGGAATGTCCAAAAACTTTTCATAGCAGTCTCCATACCACACAAGGAGCTCTTGGTTCTGGTAGATATCCTTGCAGCTCTCATAAAATATCTGCCCTTGGCACTGCACTGCAACTAGGTTCTGCTCCTTGGGGAAACGGGCACAGTTGACATAAGACATCCAGTTCCCTGCACCTCCTTTTCCATCTATAAAGTGACTCAAACGACCATCTTCAAAGATCTAAAGGAAATAAGACACGTTTGAAATTTACTTTTTTGTTTTTGCCCTAACCTATAAAATAAATTTACATGCTAAAAAATTTCTACAGTGAGCACATGTTAATTTCATAAGCAGAGGTAAGGGAAACAAGAGGTTCCATTCAATTCTACCACTTAAAGACAACCAATTGCTCTTGCATTTTATCCCAACCAGTTTTCATGCGTGTTAATGAAGCCATACTTTAATTCATTCTCTGATCTTGGCAATGCCACTGTCTTTGGTGTTTTGTTATTATAAACAAGCCTGTGGTTAACATCTTCCACATAGTGAGGATTTCAGCTTACTTCCATGAACTACATTACTGGAAGTAGAAATTCAGGGTCAAGGGGGGAGGGGTAGCTGATACATTCTGACAAACTGCAGTCTGGCCAGCATGCCCCCCCTACAGTCAAGAGTCTCAGTTTTTGGCTAACTTTATAGGCAAATGATGTAAAAAATTTTAAATTTGTTTTTTATTTCCCTTGGCATCTTCTAGCATCCCTCAGCATATTTAAAGTTATTGGTTTTGTCTATAAATATGGCACAATGTATGATTTTTTTCCCTTTATTGGTTTTAAAGAGAGGGGAGGAGAGATAGAAACATTGATTGGCCACCTTCTGCATGCCTCCCACTGGGGATTGGGCCCACCACCTGGGCACGTGCCCTGACCGGGAATCGAACCAGCGACCTCTTGGTGCATGAGTCGACGCTCAACCACTGAGCCACACCTGTCGGGCACACTATGAATTCTTTAAGTGTATAAACCCTGGCTCCATTCACAGACTAAAATGACTTAGGGCACAAGACGCAGGGGATTTTTGCAGAGGTGCTATTGGTCAAGGTCACAGGAGTGAGGAGTGAGCATCATTTCTCTCTCTCTTTGTTGTTGTTAATTCTCATGCGAGGATATTTTTCCATTATTTTCTTTTTTTAAGAGTGGAAGGGAGGGAAGGGGTGGAGGGCAGGGAGAGAGAGAAACATGGAGGCAAATTGATTGGTTGCCCCGGGCAAGGGATAGAACCTGCAACCCAGGTGTGATCTTGACCGGGAATCAAACCCAAGACCCTTTGGTGCTTGGGCCTGACGTACTAACCACTGAGCAACACTGGCCAGGGCCTTCCCCTTTATATTGCAAAACAGGCAGCACAGCCAGCAGATTACTGCCCCTGTCCCCTCTCTCAGAGGGGCACAGGCGCCAAGATGTTCCTCCACCAGCCACCCCCCAATGTATTTACCTCCCACATCAGAGAATTGTCTCCGTAGGTCTTGACTTCACTGGCGTTGACCACTTTACCTTGAAAGGGCCCAAACCTGACTCCTTTGGCAATGAGGCTACAGCAGAACACACCAAAATGTGGGACTTCACCAAACAGCAGCTGCCTGAGGCAGAGACCTAGGGGTACCCCATAAAAGGAAGCAGATGAGGAAACTGACTGCATTCATCTGAGAAAAGAAATCCAAGCAAGGAGATCTGCCTACCTTCCGGCAGTTGAAGAGAGTCTTGATCCAGAGTTTGAGGAAGACACTCAGACCCTAGAAAAAGGCAGGGTTAACATCTTATTTTTCATTAAAAAGTATTATGGATTTCTTTCACTAGGTGTTTCCCTCTCTGCTCCTTAGAGGTAACCATTTTCCTCCGTTTGATGCTTATATTTTTCCTGCTTCTATTCCACATACAGTTTCACCTTGGAGGCACCAGAACAACCCTTGCAAAGTTATGTAAGGACCCCATTAGCAAATTTAAAGAGCGTGAGAACCAGAGATAATGCTGTCTTTGACTAAGGTCAGGGTAGTAGATGGATGGCTGAGCTGGGACTTCATGACATGCAGAGGCTCTGGGGGAGCTACCTCGCACATCCTAGTGGAGTCGGAGCCCAACAGACAAGCCCATTGCAGGACCCAATCCTCTCCTCACCCTTAGCTCTCACCACCACCAACCTCAGGGGTCATGCAGTTCAGTACTTAGAGAGCCTCAGATGTGAGCCTGGCTTCCCCAGGCTCAGTCCCCCGATGAAAGTCCACACACTGCGGACCCCCCTCCCCACTCCTATTCCCACCTGATGCCCATCCATCCATTCTAACCCCGGGATGAAGTGGACTGCCTTTACCAGAGCCGTCTGTGGGGACCAGGAGGCCCGAAGCTGCATGGTGCAGGTGCGCTGAGTGCTCCAGGCTGGGAATGACCCCGTACAGAACTAAGTGCAGGTCCTCCTGGGTGAAGTGGTACCGGTGAGTGGACTTCCTCTCCTGGTTCAGGAGTTTGGAGTCATCTTCAGACCGCTTGTTCAGCTCCTCAGGTACCAGGGAAGCACCCGCAGGGGGCGGCGGTGGAATGAAAATGTCAGGTCCATAACAAGGGCCACTGTCGCTTCGGCCACCAATGCGGGCCAGGTCTTCACTGGTGACCCCAGTATAGTCGCGGTTGCTATTCGCGAAGTGTTGCAGCTCCTTGGGGAAGTGGGGAAATGGGTACCACGGTGGCAGCTTGCCAGGCCAGGGCAGATCGTAGATCGGCTCCCTCTGTAGGGCCAGGCCCGGGCTCAGCAAGGGAGGCGCGGTCCGCAAGGCGAAGGGGGCCACGGCCTGGGACGCAGACACGGCAGGAACAGGGAAATGTTGGTAATTTTCCTCCGCGGCGGTCAGGCTGTTCCCGTAGGGTCCGTAGGGTGGGAAGGGCGTGTAGTAGGGAGCCAGGTGTTGGGGGCTGCTCTGGAGCCTCTCGTGCGGGTAGCACACCTCACCTGGCGACCGCAAAGCCATCCTGGGCCACAGCGCGGGCGCGTCTGCGGAGAAGCAAGCGCGGCTGCGTGAGGACGCGGGGCCCTGCTCCTGCCCGCCGAGCCGCCACCTCCCGAGCCAGCCCGGGTCGAATGGAATCGGGGACACCCCCAATTCGATCCGCAATCCCCACTTCACAAACAAACAAAAGCAGAAATAAACAAACACACACCCCGCAACAAACAAAACGAAAATCTGCGGGGATGCTGCCCAACTCCAAGTTCCAGGTGAGCGTCGTCCTCGCCTTTCCTCTCCCAACACACCTTGACTAAGCACGGCTGGTTTCCAACACCCACTCTCTCCATCCAGCCCCAAACCCGGCTCCCGCAAAATCTGTTGTAAGTTCCTTCCTCCGCCCTCCTCCCCGTCCAACAAGACTCTGCACAGGGTCAGGGGAGCCCCCGGGCCGTCTCACGCCCGGGGCTGGGCCGGGAGCAGAGCGCAAGATCGCCCTGGGCTTTGGGGCAGGTGGCAGCCCGGGCGCCCCTGAGACCGCAGCAGAAGGGAAGAGCCGAGGGCCCCGGGGGGTAGCGTGCAGGAGACGCGCTCCCGGAACCCGGTCTGACCCCGCGGACCCAGGAGGTCGGGCTGCCGGGAGAAGGCGCCACCTTCGGCTCTCCCGGGCCTCCGCAGCCAGCGCCAGGCTTCCCACGTGGACCAAGTCCCGCCACATCCTCCAAGTCCCTCGGGTCACCCCAGTCACCCCACCTGGGGTCCCTCTCGGGGTGGGAGGAAGAGGCCTCCGCCGGCCGCCGGCCCTCCAGTCCAGCGCCTCCGCCGCCGCCCGAAAGGATGGCGTTTTAATGGACACAAGTTCGCCCAGGCTAAGAATGGAGCTCCTTCAGGGCCGGCGGGTCTTGAGCGCCAGATCAATGAGCCCAATAAGGAAACCAAGCAGGGTCGTGACTCAGAAATTAAAGAACACGGGGTCAGGAGAAGAGGTCAGCCACGACGAAGGCATCTGTCCGGCTCCTCTGAGCCCCCTAGGGCGCTCCGTTCCTGGCCTCTCCGCACCTCAAGGACCTGCAACTTGGGGTTGAGAGCCACTTAAGGAGTAAAAGCCCAAGACGGTAAAACGATCTCCCCAAACGAGCAGCGACAGCAACTGCTGCCTGCGCTTCCCACCCACCCCCGCAGCCCACGGCCCCGGGCCACCGCGGCGCGCCGGCACCGGCTCACCTTCGGGAGCGCCGCCACGGGCGGGCACCTCCGGGACCCCGAGGGGCGGCGCGGGATCGGGGCCGGCAGGCTTCAGGCGGGCCGGGCAGGCAGGGTGGGCCGAGCAGAGGATTTAGAGGGCGGCGGGCAGGCGGGCAGGCGGGGCCGCGGGGCTGGGGAGGGTAAGGATGGGGAAGGGATGAGGCCCACGCAAGTCCCTAGGCTTGTTCGTCCCGCCCACCGCAGCCATTGGCCGACGCTTGACTCGCCCCCAGCCCTCAGGGGGTCGCGGTCTTAACTCCCCAGGACTCCAAACCGTTGCCGGGACCCCACCGTGCGCGCTCGCCACCAGCTTTCTGGGGCGACACTATTGACGCCACTTGTGCGCCACTCCTGCGGGATTGGGGCGCATGAAAGCCTGGGCCAGTATTACCCAGGGTCCCCGGATAAGTCGGCACACCGACTCCGAATCCGAGCCAGTTAGTCCCGGGGTCGCGCCCCCGTCTTTCGGCTTCGAGTTTCCAAGAGCCGAGCCTGGCCGAAGGCGGCGGCAAACGCAAGGGACAGGTGGACGTTTGTCTCTGCTATCTCGTGGGGCGACACCCGTAACGCTTCCGAGATTTCGGGGGGTTGTTTAGCCTGCCCGGGCTTTTACTTCTTCAGTACTGACTTTCAACGCCGAGGAGCGATCCCCCGCGCCGCCACACCCGTCCTTTCCCCGGGGAAGACGCGACCTCCGACGTGCCGGGCTCCGAAAAGCAATGGCCAGACCCTCGCTGGGCACTCAAAGGCCGCATTTGTATTCTGTTGGCCGGCCATTGAGGAAAAGAAAGGAGCACTTAGGCCCATTCACATTCACCCTTGGAAGCATCTAGGGTGGGGGAAAACCCTTGTAAATCCGGGTGACCTTGGCCGGGCTCCGCCACCCGGCCGCTGCTTCCTCTTTGCAAATTGGGGCCAGCACCGCCTGCCTCCGGGCGCGGCTGCAAGGGCCGGAGGCAGAGGCGCTAACCCGCACACCCGTCCCGCCCGGGCTCGGTTACTAAACGCAGAGGAAGGAAAGGGGAAACACCCCTCCAGCTAAGGGACGCCTCCAGAAGATCCAAAGCTGCGGACGAGGGGCGGCCGTGCGGACCCGACTCTCAGAGCAGCCGCGGCGGGCCGGGCGCCTCCTCCTCGGGCCCCGGACCCTGTCCTTGCAGCCTTCGTCCCCGACGCGGCGAGCTGGAGGAGGGAGTGAGATGGGGGACCCCTGCTCTCCTAGCTGCTGCCGCCGCGACCCCGGGCCAGGTCACCTGCCCGGACGCCCTCCGTGGGGCCCGTGCTGCCCGCGTCCAGACCCGTGTCCCGGGTGCAAGGAGCTTCTGAGATAAGAAGCGGGGCGTTGTTTTTTCAAAAGGGATGGGGTGACAGGAGCCCAGACTTTCCTTCTCCCCTGGTTTGTACCTCTACCCCAGCTCTTACAGTCTTGACCAACAGGCTGAAGAAGTGAGGGGAGTATTGTCCTGAGGACCAGTGCCTCCAGAGGGATCTTGTCTCTGGTAAAGGAGAGTACGTTCTGCTGCCGGCTTCCTTCCGGAGACGTGCCTGCCCCAGGACTCCGACACCCACCTCCATTTACCTCATCTTCCTCACCGGGAGACCTCACCCGGAGGACTGTAAGACTGGACACTTGGGTGGTCCGTGAATGTCAATTCCTCAGGAAGCCTTTTTTTCTTTTTCTTTTTTTAGTGCAGTCACTCCCTGGTTGTAGCTTTAGTGTAGCAGAGCAGCATGAACATTATCCTCAGGTCTTGCTCTGCAAAGAATTCAGAGTTTGAAATATTTTTTAAAATTTAATTATAAACTTGCTTGTTTGCATAGTTTGGAGAAATCCATCAAATAAAAATGGAAGTCCCTGCCCACCACTCATTCCCACTCTTCAGAGGTAATTCTGATAAACAGTTTTGGTTTATTCCCTACCTCCATTATATCTATAACTATATATCTATATCTATATATCCATACTTTACTGATACTTGTTTGCTTCTTATTTATTTTAGAGAGGAAAGGAGAGTGAGAGAGAGAGAAACATCTATATGAGAGAGAAACATCCATTGGTTGCCTCCAGTACATACCCCAATGAGAGCTCAAACCCCAACCTGGGTATGTACCCTGAGTGGGAATCAAACCAGCTACCTTTTGCTGCATGGATGATGCTTAACCTACTGAGCCATGTTTATAAAGGTAGGATTTTTTTTTTTTTAACAAAATGGCATTATACTTTATACTCTCACACAATTTTTTTTCACTATCTACTAGTCATTATTCCTGTCAGTACATTAAAATTAACTTTATTACTTATAATGGCTGCATGGTGCAGAAATTCATCTTATGGGTGTGCCTGTAGTGTGAAATTGCTGAATCAACAAGTATGAACATTGAATATTTTTTGTATATGTTTTTCTGTTGTTGTTAATCTTCACCCAAAAATATTTTTTCATTGATTTGTAGGTAGGGTGGAAGGGATGGAGGGAGGATGAGAGAGAGAGAGAAAAACATTGATGTGAGAGACATGGATCGGCTGCCTCCTGCACACACCTTACTGGGGATCGAGCCCGAAATCCAGGCATGTGTCCTAATGGAAAGACCAACTGGTTACCTCCTAGTGCGTGGTCCCACGCTCAGCCACCTGAGCCACACTGGCTGGGCAACTCTGAACATTTTGATAAGTAGTTCAAACAATACCAATTTATACCTCCACTACCCATGAGTGCGAATGTCCTGTTTCTCCACGTCCTCACCTAATTCTGAATATTGCCAATCCTTTAAAGCTGCCCATCTTTCATGTGAGAAAGGGGATCTTATTCTAATATGCCTTTCAGTCATTTACCCAGAAAACTTCCTGAATGCCTAACTATTATTGTGCTGGGCAACAAGCCAGTCACGGGGAATACAATTGTGAGCAAAGCCACTCTGTCTAACCCTGGTCCTCAAAACAGTCTTATGAGGAAGAAAACATTGTGAATATGTGACTGTGAGCTGTGGTGGGAACAATGAAAGGGAGAAGGAGCGTGTCCTGCCCTAGGCTGGGAGGACAAGGAGGTTCCCCTGCCCTAGAGGATTTAAAAGGTCTGGATAAAATTAACTAGGTGCCCGGCTGGTGTGGCTCAGTGGTTGAGCATCGACCCATGCATCAAGAGGTCGCCAGTTTGATTCCCAGTCAGGGCACATGCCCAGGTTGTGGGCCCGATCCCCAGTGGGATCATGTAAGAGGCGGCCAATTGATGTACTCTCTCATCGATGTTTCTCTCTCTCCCTCTCCCTCCCGCTCCCTCTAAGATAAATAAAGAAAAAAAAATTAACTAGGTGATGAGAGCAAGTGGTTTTCCAGGTCCAAAGAACACTTGGTGCCAAGGCCCTGTCTGCAGGGAGCACGGCTGAGTCACAGCACAGAAGGATGCTTGGTGTGGAGGAGACAGCCAGAGGTTGGAGAATCAGCAGAGGCCAGGCCTTGCAAAGAAACATCGATGAGAGAGAACATCGATTGACCACCTCCTACATGCCCCCCACTGGGGATCGGGCCCACAACCTGGGCATGTGCACTGACTGGGAATCGAACTGGTGACCTATTGGTGTGTGGATTGATGCTCAACCACTGAGCCACACCAGCTGGGCTCCCATTGATTTTTAGAAAGCGTGGAAGAGAAGGAGTGGGGAGGGGAGAAACATCCATGTGAGAGACACATGTATTGATTGCCTCCTGTACAAGCCCTGGCCAGGGGCAGGGATCAAACCTGCAACTCTGCCCTGGCTGGTTTTGCTCAGCGGTTAGAGCGTCGGCC